CATATATAAAACGACATTAGTATATATATAAAACGAAATATTCCAAAATATATGAAACGAATTTTCCCAAATATATAAAACGAAATTCGTCAAATATATAAAACGAAATTCCTCAAATATATAAAACGACATTTTACTAAAATAAAACGACATTTTTGGCGCAGAAAAAGCGCGACTAATTTATCCGGAGTAATTTGCGCTTATGCAAATATGGCGGGCAACAGAAATCTGCAAAGTTTATCAAATCTTGTCAAAGCAATTTCTCGATTGAGTCAAAATAGCACAGAGACCCGTAATAGTGGGGAGACGCAAGAAACTGCAGACGACGTGGAAGCAACGATATGAACGCTCTTTCCTTGAACGAATTGTCAGACAGAAGCAAGCCAAAATGAAATTCGTGTGGTCGCGGAACATGACGCGCTGAACACACCTGATCGTCGATACCCCGAAAACGCAGAAAGATTCGTGCCTAATCGCAAATATGGTATCAATAAACGGCCTACTGTCAAGCAACAACAAAAATATGCTCATATAACCTGCACCACCCTGTAACACCCTGATTTCATCAGGCCCCCAGCAGTCTGTGAGAAAACATTTTCCGCTTCTTTCGTGCCTCAGCCAGCGGAAAATAACACTTCTCACACACCGCTCGGAGCTGCTGCAGCGTCAGCCGCAACCATACAACGCATTGAAATGTTCCGATTTTATCTTTTATTTTAACGTATACATACTTAATACAAACATCATGGCCGCCATACTTTTTCCCGCCATCCTGTCCGAGCAGTCCTGGACACTACATCCCTCCAAAACTTTTATAAGTCAATCCTACACTGTTTATCTAACAAAACACCGACATAACTAACTGTAAACTAACTATAACAACGAACCATTTAGTTTATGGTATTTATAATTTAGTTCTGTTTTTTCCTACCGCTTTACTCATGACTTGTATTGATGTATCCTTGTTCTTATTCACCTATATCAGTAATCTTCTCCCATCTCGTACTCTTCGTGCCATCTTGGGGCTCTTCGACCACCTTGCACTTGTCCGTTTCCATCCTCATATTCCTCTTGCTGTATATCCACCTCTACATCCTGTCTCCTTACCCTGTCATCTTGTCGCTGTTCTACTGCCTCCTCTGCCTCATGATCACCAACCAAATTATCGACTGCTTCTTCTGCCTCACCGATCAAATTATCATCCTGTTCGTTTTCATGGATCTCTTCCTCTCCTCCCAACTGCTCTGGATGTATTATGTTGCTCTCGAATACATCACACTCATCACATGTTCCATTCATTTTAAGACCACCGCTACCACATTCATTGCCAGGTACTTTGAGCAGTTTAAAGAATGACGAATTTCGAGTAATAACGTGTCTTGGATTAACTCTTGAGGCAGTAATCATTGTACCTTTTGTCGCTGTCACTGTATATGGTTTAGGATCATATACTGGCTGCAACTTTCCTTTTCGTTCATTACGCACCAGGACCAGATCACCAACTTTAAGGTTAGACGATTTAACATAAGACTTTCGATCTGCA